CTCTCTCTCTCTCTCTCTCTCACTCTCTCTCTCAAACACACACACACACAGAGAAAGAGAGAGAGAGAGAGAACGGATATAAGTGGTACGTATTATGGTCGTCAGTTGTCCATCTTAGGAAGGATTCTCTCCTGTACACATGCATCAAAGAGCAAGTGCGAATCTATGTACTGACCTCCGATGGTCTAACTTTCCTGCTAACATCTCATCAACTTCTCTACAACTACAAATTTCGACCTTCGTAACACCCATGTGTGATCTACAACTTAGAAACGAGTGTATGATTGGTTTTCAGACATTACTGTCAGATGTTCAGAAAAGAAAACATAAAGAAAAAGGAAGACATACATAACAACAGATGGATCTCCTCCGGTCATTAAACTGTCTCAAAGACCCCGGAAGATGGAAGAAATACGAAGGGGAGTAGAAAAGAACAGCGTAGATTTCTAGCCGAAGAGCGACTCAGATGAACATAACCCACCGGTGGAAAAGGTTATCAATCAAGCCTGAGAAGATTAGACAGGTGAAGATGATTACCTGGTGGTGAGCATTAGAGATCTCCATCCATGCAACCTCGCTCTCCCACTGTGACTGCACGCAATCGTGCAGAAGCCCAGAGGAAGAGCTCGACTTCCCTTCCACTTGATGTAAATATAGAAAACGAACACGCAGGAGAAGTTCTAGAGAGAGAGAGAGAGAGAGAGAGAGATGGGGCTCGCAGAGCAAGAAGACAATGGGCAAAGAACTGACGCCCGCCTTACGAGAGACGCGTGGATGACGGAGTAGAGTAGCAAGCCATTGAGGTGAAAGGCCAGCATGCACGATGGGAGCCCCACATCTCCCCGCACAGCGAAGTCGGGAAGTGCTACCTCCTGTGAAGTCCATCCCTATCTTTTGGTCCCAATTCCTTTCCTGCTTTAAGAAAGTATTAAACATCGCAACAAAATCTATAATATATATATAAAAAAAAGGGAAAAATCATAATGATATGCGTGCATGATGTGTATGCCTTTCCCACATGATGTTTTAAGATCTGATCGACTTCCTTTTGTCTAGCATAGAATATTCATTTTATGGCCTTAAACATGAAGGCATATATATAAAATGAAATAAAAGAATAATTAATTTATCATAGGTTGAATGTCCCAATCAACAAGTTTGATCCGTAAGTATCTTGTCACTTAATAGTAAGATGCTGGTTGGAAATCCGCTTGTGTCAATTTATATATATCCTTACCCATACTTATCATTTGTAAAAAAACAAAAAAAAAATCTGTATCAATTGATTTATATTATGTTATAGGCCAACTCAAACTCGCACAAAATGCAACTCCACTGCATGCATGGGTTATAAATATAAATACACATATGTAAATATGTAAAATATTGAGCTATTATGAAAATTGCCTGTGAATTTATAGGATCCCTATGTTTGTCACTATGTTGTAACATCTTGTATTAATAAAAATAATAAAGTATGGGGGTGATGGCAATTAGGAGGTGATGCCTTCTTGGCTTCCGGGTGCATCCTAAAAGCTGTGAAAGCCTACATAGGAAACATATTATACTGGCAGGCAGGACATATAAATAATATAAACTGCAAGTGATTAAGTTTCAAGTGGATATGGACTTGTCAATAATCGATTCATGACACAATGTTCTTATTGTGTGGAAGACAATGGTACCAATCTAAGATGAGCAATCATGCTACACCCCTGTGCATGATTCTCAGAACAAAAGCTGTGTCTGACAATTTTTGTGTACACACATATATATATATATATATATATATATATGAATGAGAGAGAGAGAGAGAGAGAGAGAGAGGAGTTAAATAAAGCTTGTATTGCATTCATGAAAACAAATTGTTTCAGGTGCTGTGGCAACTTTAATAAGTGCCTCTTAAATAAATTAACAAGGGTGGAAGGCACAATCAAGACACTCATGTTAGAGAATGGCTTGAAGAAACCCTTATAAATTTGTGTTAGTGATCAACCAGTGGACCAACACTGCAGTTTATCTGATAAACAAATTTACTCAACTCAAACTTGTTCAACCAAGATTTGACAACTAATACAGAAACTCTTGTTTGATTTGACTTTTAATTTTTGCAACATGAAGAAAGAACACCATTTAGTCATTCAGAAATATGTTATGTAAAATCTAAGGCTCACAATTATTGTCTCTTGAGTTGCCAACCATAACCACCTGATATATGTACATTTAACTTATAAACTGTAAACCTAACATGGGCAAACATCTTCTGGGACAAGCCATAATGGTGTGACATGTAAGGGGAGCTATCAATAAAGTTGTCACTAGATCTATAATCAAATATCACATTTGATACAGCTCTATAATTGCATGATACACAAACATAGTGTCATAAAAAAGGCAGTTAATATTTTCACTATTTAGTAACTCAAACATGCTACCAATTTCTCAAACATCAGACTTCTCAATCCGCATCTCTCTCATCCAATTTTATAAGATTGATAGCACTCCTAGAAGCTTTAATACACAGGTGAAACATTAAATGTAGTACATCCAACACGGTTTCCAAAACCACGCAACCCTGGAAATGATCAAACTGGCTACAAACATTTTAAGCATAAATTGTAGACATTTCATCTAATTTAAAGGATGATTACTCGAGAATGAAAATATGAAAGGATAGGTCAGATTACTGAGCACCATGGCTGTAATAGCTAGCAAAATTAATCATCAAGCATTCTCATAAAAATACCATCACAGCCACTTGTGCTAGCTGTTGATAAACATGATTACAGTACATTTCTGGGCATGTTAACTACGAAAAAGTCCAATGACCAACCAAACATCAACTTGACCAAAGATAGCATACAAAAGCATGGAATCTTATTGGTGAGATGTTTCCGAGGATTCTACTCCCTAAGTAACATCTCAAAACCTGCACAAAATGACCTGCTGGATCCACACATCCATTCTTTAAGCCTCAGCAAATCTGCATAAACAAAAAAGAACCATTGTGTCATCAAATTGCTATTTTACGCTCTCTTTCACAAACACTACAATGCATACCCGAGTTCTGAGAGCTTCAGGTGAGCTTCAGTGTAATCAGCAAAGAAGGCATCCTCATCCTGAGGCACAAAACCAGCAGTGCAAAAGGAGGAAAAATCAACAACATTTTAAGTGGAGGCATGACCACGAATAATTTGTACAGTTTAATATCAAGAATACATACGGCAGCATATTTCTCCACAAGAGGGCGGAATACAGGATCAGTTAGAAGGGCCTTGTCAGAAGGCAGCTGGAGAAGGTCTTCTTTCTCTCCACTCAGGAGTTCCCTTCCAGAGAAAAAAGATAAAAAAAGAGAGGATCATTCCTCCAAATTTTGAGAAAATAAATATATCATAAGGGCATAAATCAAGCACAACTAAATATAAAGAACAATTAAAGACCAAAACAGATTAACTGGCAAGTCTATTTTAATAGATGTTCACAAGGCCTGGTTTTTTGGCAAACAAACTTACTTGAAGTATGAGTTGTCAAAAATAAGAGGATTGGAAGTCCAAGCCCCCTCAAAACCAGATCGCTCCTTGTGGCACCTTCCCTGTGGCAGACAAATTAAAAATACAGTTAAAAGAAAATATAGAATGTGATGGAGGTCTTATCCAACGGTAAACATAGCTACTCAGAGCACAACTAGAAATTTACCAGTGTGTGTCCACCAGATAATGCAACGATATCCTGATCGCTGAGACCCATGTGACCAAACACATCCCTAAGGTGATCAGAACCTGTAGGATACAAAAATTGTCTTCAATTCAATCAGATTTGTGTTACAACAGAATAGGCCTTTTGCAAGAATGGTAACATTTATGGACTAAATACACCTTATGAGGGCATTCGACAGCAAATATAGAAGTTGATGCATGTGCACAACCTATGATGTATAAAGTGAAATATGGAACACCTAAAAAAAGCAACCGATGGGATTTCATGAAATCCAGTTATATTTTGTGCATGTATAACCGAATACATCTAGTGCTACTATGAAAAAAATAGTACTCCTCTGAGAGTGGGCAATAGTGTTATGCTAGTTGCAATTTATAAATGTATGCAAGAGTCCATCTACTGCCTCTAAACACACATAATAGCCCTAATGGCAAAATGGGCAATGATGCTATGCTAGGTCTAGAAATTTTAGTTTACAAAGCATAAGGTTTGGTCTAACACCTACGATTATATGAGCATGTCACTGCTATGGAATAGTTATGCCAGCAAAGCAAATATTTATACTAGCAGCCAACATTCGAGACAAGCAATATCTATGTATATAAATTCCTTGAGCATGTGCAGAATAGACAACCATACCCTTGGTAGCATCAGGAAGGCGACCTTCTACGGGAGGTTCAGGCTTGTCCTAGACAAACAGAAACCAGAACGTCAATACAGAGCAGTCCTACTCCAAAAAGGATACATTGAAGACCAGTATTTCAAAGCCAGAAATCTTGACCATAAAATGGTTTAGAACATTTCCATTCATTAGGAATGAATATGATTAAGATTCACAAAGAATCTACACAAAAAAGACCTAAATATTGAAGAATTCCAGCATTAGTTCTTGAAAATTTAAATTTATTGAAACAAACATTTAAGAGGCAAATTGGCAACAAACTACATTAGACGTCTCAATAATACATAAATACATAAGTGATAAAGGCAAAAAGATTCAACATGCGTGATCTAAATAAATCTCATCCATAAGATACAGGAGCAAGTATCTAGTCTGGCAATGACTAACAAATCACTTGTACGAACAATGGGATACACTAGCAGCATCTAAAAAAATCACAAATTTCTTTAACATCAACTTATTTTTCAGAGTTTAACCTACAAAGAACTTCAATTCTAGGCAACATCACATCAATATACTGTTTTTTTCTGATTAAAAAGAAAAAAATAATGAAAACAGGATTCTGACCAAAAAATTACAAGCACCGAGAGTTACTCCAAAAGCCTATTGTTGCAATTCTAAAGCTGCCAAAAGCAAGTGGTAGAGGCGACATACTACAACAATTAATCTAGTCAGAAAAAAAGAAAAGTTCTACTACATATTTTAAACTGCATTATAATTGTGATCGTGAGTCATCACAATTTAAAAGGCTGCAGACGAGTTAGCTTGACCACTTAGTAGTCCATGAGCAACCCTCTTTGGCTCCTTTTACACATCAAAAAAGAAAAGAACTTGAAGAAAATATCAGATTCGTCATAAGGACAAAAAACTTCTGACACATGAAAGATAATATCTGAATCTCCCAAAATCACAAACATCAACCCACAAGCCTTCAGCCATTAATAACTTAAGCTAGAGGAGAACAGAAGACCAAGTGCCATTTAAAATAAACCCTATTTGTTTAATCCTAAATTTCATGACGATTGACTAACATCATTAGCACAACCCGACAAAAAATTTATGATAACAAACAAATCACAAGCCAAAAATGCCCTCCACATATCCCTATCTCAACTTCGAGAATATGTAAACATATACTATAAATCAAGATCGGGATCATATACCTCCCTCCCAGGATGGAAAGGGATCTCCGGTCCTCCGGTAACTTCGACAGCCACAACTCCGGCGAGCTGCAGAAGAAAATATGCATCTAAGCAAGAAAACAGTCGAAAGGAAAAAAGCTAACGGCGTTAGATCCGGAGATGACGGACGGACCTGATAGAAGTCAGCGTATGTCAAGATGGGGAACTGCTCCTTGATGGGCTCCAAGAGCCTGACAGCGATGTTGAGCCCGTTGTTGGCGCCGTGGGCGAGCTCCGCAGGGAACCTCATGGTCCCGAACGGACCGCCCGTCTTTGACACCACATCGTACGTACCCGCCGAGTGCCACCTGGAACCAACCCCGATCAACGCCTTCGGTCACCAGATCTGCCTAAAAGGCACTGAAAATGAAGCACGATGAGGAACACTTACGCGAGCCGGAGCATCAACGGGGCACAGTTCTTCTCGGCGATGAGGCCACGGAGCTTCCTCTTGGCCTTCTCTACCGCCTTCTGGTACTCCTCACTCACCGTCGGATACGACTTCGCCATCTCCGAAACAGAAACAGGAACGTGGAATCGGCGACGAAGCACGAGCACAACGAGAACGGACCACGCTCCTTCATCCCCCCTCGGTGCCTTTAAAGCTGGGTCCTGAAGGTTCCAGTGGTGCAGCAAGCACCGTCGGATGGATCGCAATGGACGGAGTAGATTTGATGAAAATTGCACGGTCAAGATCCGGGGGATTTTGGGTGATGTGTGGCTCCCGTGACGTGGTAGGTGAGGCCTCGGTAGTGGGCTGCGAAAGGTGCTGTAGAAAAGGTATTCCAAAATGACGTTATCACCCCTAATAGGTCTTGCTTTTAAGGAGTCATAAGGGTCGAGGTCGGTCTTTTTGTTCGAGTACAAGTGTGAACGGGGTGGAGACGTCGAGAGATTCCATCGCCATAGTGACAAATTGTCTCTAATCAATTAAGACACCTGGCATACAATCATTGGTTAATTTAGTTGCCAGTTTGACTCGGCGCGGCAGCTTTATTTATCGTTTCCGGAGTTCGGATCGGATCCGCTTTACAAGGATTTATAATCTCCCTTCAATTCTTCCATCGCGGCCGTCATCTCAACCTCATCTTACATCGAGACCGTCCATTCACGCCCTGACCGCCTGGAGTAATAAGAAACGGGCTCCGCTGTCATCGCTGAGAGAGATGTCCGAAATAACTGATGACACGGACACTGCCCTTTCGCCAGTCTGGTGGAGCCCTCCAGAGATATTATTATCAACCGGAGCGTGTTGATGTGATTTATAATGTACCCCTTTAAAATCCCTGAATGCCTTCATGCATGGCGAAATACCGCGACTGCCCCTATTTCAACTTCAAAACTAACCCGGTTGTTGGTTTCAGAAAACTAGAGTTAGACATTAGAAATTGGCGCCCCTCATTCTGGCTCCTCTTTCTCCCGCCCACCCGCGCCTCTGGGCACCGCCTCCCTGCCCTCTCCCTCCACTCCTCTCCCAACGGTTTCCTCGGTCGTTCCTTCTCCGGCGGTACCCAGCTTCAAAATTTCCCTGCCTTATCTCTCCCCGTCTCTTCGCTTCCCCTTTGGACGTGTTCCGGCGGTGGTGAGGGCCGAGAGTGGCCCTGGGGTTCGTTGTGTTTTCTCTTCAACCAGGTTGGTTTACTCATGATTCAGGGCTGGGAACGTGCAACTGCTTTTGTATTAATTTGATCTATCTGCGTACAATTACATGATATGCCTCCCTGCAAATTGTTCATGATTCTGCTACTTGGCCTTTGTTTAGGAATGGTTCCATGATTTCCATATGAACTGGAAACATTGATGGTCTAGGCATATTCCATCTTTCACTCTCTTGGAGATGCTTAAGATAATCAAAAGATCAAAAACCTCACTTACATAGGAATTTTACTGCAATTCTTGTTCATTTTATCTCGGTTGTGTTTGTCCTGTTGATCTATCGTTCATAATTGCAACCCAAGAAAGTTATATGCATCTGATTCTTGGACATTGTCTTACAAATTCCGATATATTTCTGTACATGTGGCTAATTGTTATACTTTGAGCGAACAAAATCAGTGTTCACCACATTTAAAGTCCTACTAAATCATCTTCTTCTACCTCTACAAAATGTGCTTGCAGTGACTATTTTCTTGATGTTATCTTTTGAAAAGTAAATTTAGAACTGTCAAACAATTACTTCTATGATTGGATTAAATATCATGTATTAATTGTATCATTTGCATCCTTGTATACTTATGTGAGCAGATAGTAGCTGAAATAACTGTAATTATGTTTCAAGAGCACCATAGAGAAAAAAAGGAGTCGGAACTACAAAAAGTTCAACAAAGGTCTTAGTTATTGGTCAGAGGTTTACTAAGGTGGAAATATCTATTACGTTTCCACCAGTAGCATCTCCGTTTGGTTTGGATTCATCATGGATTATATTGTAAACTGATGGAGGTTCGCGAGTTACAGGTATAGAGATGAACACAATTTGTTTTGAGGTCCACATTTGAGGATGAATTCATCAGTTTTTTTAACTACTTCGGGCTTGTTAGCTTCTTTATTGCTATGCTGGGCTTTTATGCAAAGACCCGGCCACAATTTTTGACCAGGGATCCAAATCATATTCTCATGTTCTATTTTTTCAAGAGTTTCTTAGCTTAGCAATACTGGCAACTTGTCACACCTTTTTATTATGTTGCCATTTATGACGCAATATAAATCTTTAAAGTGCAATTTTCTTGAAGCATGTACTTGTTTAATTCATTGTGACCAGCAAGCTGTTGAATAGTTTATAATTTTGCATATCATGAATTCTGTTTATCTCTTATTACTTGTGGAAGTAATTAAGTACTACAACTTCACAAAATCAGCATTTTTTTCTTCCAGACATAGTTATGCTTTAGAATGGCATTACTGCATGAAACTCATCTTTTTGAGAGCTGCATAAAAAAATTGTTTAGCTATAGATTCTAGCTATAACTATAGTTGCTGCGACATACTTGGCTGGTTTTCAACTCAATATTTTGTTAAACGGAGGACTAGTAGATGTGTACAATCAATTGCTCTTTAAGTAATAGATCATTTTACTAATGTAACCTTCAGCTACTGGAATTCATGACTAAACCTTTTTTGGCCGACCCCATATAGGCTTTGTTGTTGTTGTAATTGACTAATCCTTTTTTTCCCTTTTAAGTGTCTCTTCTTCAAGCTTTCTTACTGGGTTTTAGCCAAATGGAACTAGGTTCTAGCAGAAGATTGGTATGTCATAAGATCATGAGATAAGAAGATATACATTAAAACAAGACGAGATAGAGTATAAATCTTGACCGGATAATCTATTTTCAGTATGAATCCTACGTGAACTCTTAGAAAGGAGATTCCAACCCTCCTGGATCAATAGAAGGCCTGTGCCAGTCTTCTTGGGTTGACAGTTCCCAGTGAAATATGCAATAAACTACCAGGCCTGTGACAATCTTCTTGGGCTGACAGTTCCTAGTGAAGTATGCAATAAACTCTTTGAAAGTGCTCGAATGAGATGGAATGTGATGTGTATGGCATCCGTGGTGAGATGTCATTAGTGGATTCTGACTGATGCGTACAGGAAAAAATAGTTAATCGTTCGAAGTACATGATGCACTTTTGCTATTCATCTTAATCCTATACAACATGGGCACAATATTGCTATCAATTGTTGTTGTCGTATCTTGCTATTTGATGACCATAGCCCGAGAAGCTCAGAGTGTGAGATGAAGGAAAAGAGGTAATTTATCTGCCCAACTTCAAGAAGTTCCTTACTTTGCTCCTCTTGCATAGTAAGTCAGCACACTGAATTTTCTTGGTTATAGCATCTAGTTACGATTAAATTAATCTAAATTTTAGGCTACTTTGAGATGTTATACCATCACTGAAGAGGGCTTATGGAAGTAAAATAACATGTATAATGTATGAATATTTTGTAAAGCTCCTTATTTTATTGCAGAGAATCTCAAGTTTCAGCATGACCTTGCTTTGTTCAGTAATACTATTTATTCTCAGGTGAAAGGTTGACAGAACTTATGGACTCAAACTTCATTAGCATCCATCTTCCTCGAATTTTTATTGACTTCTCATTCCTCTTTCAAACGTGAAGATGATGAAAATTCATTCCAATGTTTCCTATCCTTGCTGTTCCTCCAGGTACTATCTTGTCTCTACTTAAGTATTGGATCAGTAAGGACCAGAATAGTCAATGTGGAGAGGGACATTTTAAGAGTCCTCATCTGTGAGCTGCCATGCTGGGCCTTATCTCCTAAAATAACATAAAATAGTAGATAGAAATCTAGAGTTAAATAGATAGAAACTTGTACTGCTTGGTTTTTGTTAGGCTATAAAATATGTTTTTGGTTGGCCAGCAGCAAAAATTAAATAGGATGCTCTTCTGCCATCCAAAAAATAGAAAAAAAAAAAAGGATGATGCTTGAGTAATTAAAGCAATGTATAGTGGTTTTGTTGTCCGAAGACCATGGTTCTCCATTTAGTAGGCGTCTTTGAAGTGTGTTAGTGTCGACATGATTTGATAGAAGAAATTTTCTTTCGAGGATTTTGATCGGGTGTTCTGAGTTGGAGACCAAGATAAACAGAACTTGTAGGTCAAACATGTGAAGCTGGATGGAATTTGTCGCTGAAGGATCAATTAAATCAAAATTTCCTCCTAAAATATTATTTTTTTAAAAGAAAAAAGACTTTGTCAACCCTCTTCCATATAAAACCTTTCAATTATATATTACAGCCTAGACTTCCTTTTTAGATATATTTCACAATCGAAAAGGAAATAATCACATCAAAAGGGGTAGCAAAATTGGTAACGAGTCGGGGCGAAAGTCTTGACCCTTAGATTTGACTTTTCTGTGGGCAAAGATTTGCCATTACTGGACATGGAGCTCCCACGTCTCCCAACTTGTAGAGCCGTAAACCTCGTCGTACCACGAAGGCAATCCACTTGCCGCTTTGATAACATATCCGGTAGTTTGACCATCCAATTGTTAGATGTCACATCTATGAGGTGTTTGATCGGAACATCATGAGTCACATTGGATTCATAAATAATAGAGTGCGAAGAAGACAGGTACAGTTGCCACAGCTCACATGATGATGGGCGATGGCGTGGGTCCACCAGAGTAGGCCATGTTCTTTATCATAGAAAGCATAGAGTCACGTTTGATCACACATTAAAGAAATGTCTATTTTTTAGTAGTTTTGCTGAAGTTTCCTTCTCGACTTGACTAATTATCCAATTATTTTTTCTACAATTGGACAACTATCACTTTCCGTGTGACTTCATATATAATTTATCTGCCCCAAAGTCAACCAAAGCTTTATTATCATTTGATAGCTTGTTTATCTCTAATTGGCTATCCATTTACAAGCATTAATTGTCTATATTACTTTTCATTTGGTACACATACAAGCATTTAATTGGATTCATATGTTGCTTTTCTCTTCCCTCATATTCTCTTTATATATTGTTGCAAATATTGGAAGTAAAAATAAATGTGATAGAATCCTGCAGCTATAAATAAAGCCTCTTGTTTGTACGTGACTCGCACTACAAAGATGGAAAAAAGGGAATTGTTTTTCTTGTGGAGGATCGAGAGAACAAGCGAAGTCTACAACTTTAGTAGCGAGGATAGGAAGGTAAAAACAGAAAAAATCAAAATTATCAACGCGTCGTTGGTTACACGCGGCAGCATCTTATTAGTCCGATACGAGGACCGTCCACTAGGAAGTACAGTCTGGTGAACGGGTGATTGAGTTCATGCGACCGGCTTCAGCTCGACGCCTTGCCACAATCGGAAGGCAGAATAAAGATAAGGAACCAAAGAGGGGTACTCCGAGGAGAGAGAGAGAGAGAGAGAGAGAGAGAGGAGACCGTAAGAGGAAAGGGTTCAGCATTCCACGAGGGGAATGAGGTGGGAGTGGGGCCCAGTGGACTGGTTGGGTCGGCGAGCGGTGTGCGAAGGGTCCCGAAACCTATGGGTTTTGTTGCCCTTTTCCTTTCCAGCTTTCCTCCTTCCCATGCCTCCAATTAATCCCCGTACACGTTACAATTTGTAACTATCCACACAAAAACAATTCCTTGTGTAACCAATCAACAAGCACGTCGAAACCCAGCACTCTCTTTGATGGATCCATTACTCATCCCAGTGATATATGCATAATTAATCAATCCAAACATAATTACTTAAATCAACTTGTTTTACCTTTCAATATATTTTATTGTACACAAAAGAATCCCTGTCAGCTCCCACTACAACTTGAATTTTCTGATGTCCTATCTCCCATCCTCGTCCAAAAAGGGTTAATCTACTCGCATGTCACCAATTAGTCGACATGACACGCCATTACCAATAACAGCGGCACATTTCCCACTCGGTCAATCGTTGCTCGTTCCGTTACCTCCCTTATGAACAGTGAACACACTTGCGGGCTCGACGCTACCTACAATTACAAGGCAGGTGGACGAGCGGGTAGCGTCCGGTCAGGTACGGAAAGTTTTCTTGCACCAAGAATCTTGTGTTTACTCGGGACGTGTACGGCCCTCCTCCCTTCATTTCTACGAGGCGACAACTACGTTGTTAATCTCTAATCACGTAACGCACTCACAAAATCCCGTCCGTCCGTCCGATTCGATAGGGCAATTGGTATTCCTCCATTACAGATATTTTTTTGTCCTTTTGCGCTCGGGCAACTCCTCCTCCACTATATATATTTTATTATGTGCACCACCCGTGGTCACGTCCCATACCCTCCGGTCGCCGCCACGGTGGTCGCCGGTCCTGGCCACTCATCGCTCCCTGGTATCGTCTTTTTTTTTCTCTGGATTCCTTTGATATCTGTTCTAGCTTCCTTCTTGATCTTGAACTCCCGATCGGATTTCATTTATTGGGATTTTCTTTCTTCATGTCTTACGATTTTGATCTTACAGGGGAAGAGACATAGTTGGAGTGGAGTCCTTGGCGTTGGGAAATCGATGCTTGTGTTGTCGCAGAAGTCGTCGAGGACCGAATCCAGATGTTCCGTGAGACCGATACCACCTTGTCCTGCTTCTACCTTTTCTTGCTCTGGCTCTTTTTCCGACAGTAGCAAAGAACTCGATTCCAAAGTGTAGAGGATTAGTCCGAGATCAAGCGTAGGTCAAATCGGATAAGAAAGGCTGGACTTTTGGTGATATTGGTGGAAGAGGAAGGATGTTGGACCTCAACGTGGCTTCCGCAGGCGAGTCGACCTGTGTTGGAGAGAAGCCCATACTCGAAGGTGCCGGTGGTGGGCACATAGTTTCTTCGGAGACCTCCGAATCATGTGTCCATAATGCTGAGGCATCGACCAATGCAGCTGACGAGAATTCGTTCTCCACACGGCAGGTAGGTGCACCCGCCATGGAGTTTGGCATCTTGATGAGCTCCGCGTCAGCTGAAGGCGAGAACGATGTCGATGAGGGGATCGAGGTCGATAGAAATGATGGCGTACAAGAGCCGGGACTAATCACCAGGCAACTGTTTCCACCTGAGCCGGTGGTAATGAATGGGCTGCGACCGTTCGTGGAGGCATCTTTCCTGCCATCATCATCGAGCCCACAGTGGAAGGATCTTAGCTTCTATCAGGCTAATGTTCCAACAAAGGTGACAGTTTTACATCAGCAACAATGGCAGCAACAACAACCAAAGCCTCAGCAACAGCAGGTGAAGCGGAGTAGGAGGGGGCCTCGCTCCCGAAGCTCTCAGTACAGGGGGGTTACGTTCTACCGGAGGACGGGGAGATGGGAATCCCACATCTGGTTGGTATCCAATTCCTTATCTTAGCTCTTTCTTATCCTGGTGATCAACTTACTAGAATTTTCCTGTTGGCAGGGATTGTGGGAAGCAGGTCTATTTGGGTAAGAATTCTGTGTGACATTCTTTCTTGACTATTGGTGATTATAGTCGTATTAACAATTATTTGTTCTGATTGGTGGGATCTAATAGGAGGGTTTGACACTTCTTATGCTGCTGCAAGGTTATAATCATCTCCTTCTCTCGTCTGTCACTTTTCCCATCTATCTGTTATGTTTTGAGAGAAGTAACGACTCATCTGAGATTCTTTTGCAGGGCATATGATCGAGCTGCTATCAAGTTCCGGGGAGTCGATGCTGATATAAATTTCAATCTTAGCGACTACGAGGAAGATCTGGAACAGGTAAAGGAATGCATTGGAAGAAATTGTTTAGTGATTCTGGACCTCCTGTAGATGGTTGAGTCCTAATTTATCAGCTCCATTATGCGTTGTCAGATGAGGAATTTGTCAAAGGAAGAGTTTGTGCACATACTTCGCCGACAAAGCACTGGATTTACAAGGGGAAGCTCCAAATATAGAGGGGTGACCCGTCACAAGTGTGGTCGCTGGGAAGCTCGCATGGGACAGTTGCTAGGCAAGAAGTAAGAAATCTGTGCTCATTTATCATTGGTAGAGGCTTTTTCTTGATCAGGATGTATCTTGCTACTTCATGTAGCTTCCTAATTATCAGCTCAGACATTGTAGCTTAAGATTCAAAGTTCTTATTTGGTCAAACCACCATTACTTGTATTGGTAGTAATAGACGCATGGAAGACAACGAAATGTTAAAAATCTAAGCTTTCTCAAAAATAAAGATGAGGAGCTCACTATTTACCTATGAGTCTGCAATGTTTGGATGTGCAGGTACATATATCTTGGGCTATTCGACAGCGAAATAGAAGCTGCAAGGTTCTTCTTAGCGTTTGATAACCTTCTTAACTTCTTTAGACTTCAATTCTAACGCCATATTGCTTTATTTCTCTTTTTGTTGTTCCTTACATTAGGACTTATGACAAGGCTGCTATTAAATGTCATGGGAAGGAGGCAGTCACCAACTTCGACCCGAGGACATACGTGGAAGATCTGCTTGCTGGGGCTGGCTCCGAGGGTATGATACTTGAATTGCAATCTGTTTCCTTATCTCTCTCATCGATGTACTAGTTTCTAGAAGTGATCACATGAAGTATGCTGAATTCCTTAATGTAAGTTTTCGGAATGATATTGTCATTTCCTCAGGCCATAATGTTGATTTAGACTTGAGGATTTCTCAACCTATTGTCGACAGTCCAAAGAACGTTAAAAATCCAACAGATATCATATCCTCCTATGGCCCATTTGGAGCTACTGCTGCAGAAAAGGTATATGTGGATCACTGTTACCACTGCTGTCTCTGTAACTTTTAGCTCTTACTTGCTGATGTATTGTTTTTCCTTACAAAATCTTGGTTCCTCAGCTTAATCATCCCATCGTTGTGCATGATGGTGAAATCTGCATTCCGAAAGCGTGCTATACATCTTAACATTATCCTGTCTGAAGCTTTGCTCGAGAAATACATGGATTGTCATTTATTTATAACCTGTCCTGATGCTGTTTCTGTTTGTCTGCCCCACCACTATAATCATTTGATGAATAATTGCAAACATTTTATTATTTGTTTCTCTGCAAGTGCTGAGAGATCCTTATCTGTAATAGCTGTTCATGATGCTGATGACAGATATCTTTCTTCTGCTACAGGCAAACAACCCTTCTTGGCATCCAACCTCTGTTCCACAGCACAATAATTTGCGCCTTCAAAATTTTCATGCCTGGACTGCTCGAAATCCTGCTTTCCATTCCAACACTGAGGTAACAATGCTTAAATTGTTTGTGACGTGGGTTTTGATGTTTCAGGTTGTGTATTTTATTGGATTTTGGCCATATCTATCTTGAACCATATCTGAACATGTTATAGAGGGAACAATTAGGAAAATTGTTCCCTATGTGCCATCTGAATAGGGAAATGAACCACTGAGCTGAATGGTCTTTTAAAGCATCAAGTCTTGCTGTTTATAGGACATTTTCATGATGGAGATGCCATCTGAATAGGGAATGAACCTGTGAAGCTATGTGCCTCACCAGAAATTAACATCAACCATCCTTGGATTCATTGAATCTGATGTTCATAAATTAAAAAGTAGTTGATAGAGAGTCACTGACAGGATGTCATCATGGGTCCCTCCCATTTTAAAATAATTTGTTCCATACCTTTTTCTTTTCCCGATTTGTTGGAATAGCCAATACATTGTATTTAGTTTATCTTAATAAATTTACATAATATTAGGTATATCAGTAAAAGTTTTGTGCTTAGGAGATCAGTAGTTGGAAAGGTAAAATTATTCTTATTGGTGGTCTGAGGAGAGATAAGAAGAAGACCAAATAAGATCATTAAGAAATTATAAATAAAAATTTAAATATTTTTCGCTTAGCTAAATATATCACTTTATAGTTTTATTATTATTGTTGTTGTTTTATTAGGTATGTGCAAACTCATTACATGCTATTTTATTAAGACCATGAGCTTGCATGTAAGTTTTTCCTGAGATATTTGTCTTCAAACTGCATCAAAGTCTGGTGATCTTTGTTGAGACATCCAATCTAGTTAGTACATTATTTATTACACAAGCGGTATGATCATCATGCATGCATGCATGCATGTGTGTCATTTGATATAATAAATATATTTTTTTAATTTTTTTTTTATTAGTGCCTGTGGTTCGTTATTCACAAATGATTGCTGAAGTTACTTACCAGTTCTAACCTCTGCTACCTGCTAAAAGCAGGAAAGAGTTGGAGAAAAGTGGCTCATGGTGGGGATGCAAGCTCTTCCAAACTGGGAATGGCAGATGCATGGCCCAACTTTATCACCCCTCTTCTCTCCTGCAGCATCATCAGGATTCTCGACTGCCAGCGTAACAGCTGCCATTACTGCCCTAAATCTACCAGCTTCAGCAACGCCTCCGTTTCCTCCCACCAGATAAGACATCTAATTACCATTCCAAAAGCTCATGTAATGTGTGCAGGATGGTCAACTACAACCGTGTCATCATGTTTCATCATCTACATGAATCGAAAGCCATTTTGGGTGACAATGCAGTGGGTGGCATCTTTGTAGTTGAATGTAGATTCTTCTTCATACACACCTCAATGGCATGTAGAAGATACGTAAATCTTGTTTGTCTGCCTGCCTGCGTATTAATATGAATAGCTGGGAGATTGCAACACTGTGTAGTTGTATGATCGATCACATGACTCCTGCCATGAGAGTGGTGATGTTGGAAGTCATGCGTTGGTTCCCAGACAGGTTGCGGTTCCCCTGACCCAAGCAGGTTTACTTCGATGGCCGCTCTCCCATTGGTTCGGCTTCTCTCCTCCATGGGCCCCGCTCTTTCTGACCAATGGGGAAATAGACGCGGGACTCGGCTATTGCCGATCACATTTGTTTTTTGTATTCTCTTTATCAATTAAAGAAAATTCAAGGCATTGTTTCATTCGAATCAACATTTTTCACATTAAATTAAAATGGATTGAAGTCATCATTTGACTTAAACTGGATAACTTAAGGCCAAAATAATGACAGGAACTAACCAAAGGTCAAATGGCATCAATTACGTACATAAAACAAAAAAAACGTTTTCCGTTGCCGGGACTCGAACCCGGGTCTCTCGGGTGAGAGCCGAGTATCCTAACCAACTAGACTACAACGGATATTTATGATTTTGTTGATCTAAACATTTATCATCTGATTCTAATTTATTTGCAATATACAGAATCTCATGACCTACAAATCCATTATTATTTTGTTGTGGTAACTGATAGTGTTCCTTATATTCCTACATAAACATCCGAACCATTTAAATCAGGCTCGAATTTTCATATATATATATAAATATAGATAGAGAGAGAGAGAGAGAGAGAGAGAAGCAGCAGCCGCCAAGTAAAAGCCCATGCAATTTGTTTCCAGCTGCTGATATATTCTCCAATAATACGAGGCTAATGCTCGTATATTTTGAACTCAGGTGTCGAGAGGCATCCAATGGCCACTGACACTGCAATACCTATGAAGCTCTACCATAGAAACAGAAACAAATGAGGTAGAATTTGGACAGCCATTGTAACTTTATGCAACACATCAGAGGGAAATGATGAGCATAATCCACTTTTAACAAGAACCTGGAAGCAATGAGAATTCCAGAGTTTTGTCATTTTGTTAGCTATCAAGTACTAAAAAGAGAAGATGAGCAGCTTTAACATTGTGATTCCTCTCCAATTAAAAGAATGGAACAAAGGTTTCTGTGGGATAGATGTATCTTATTCACAAAATATTCTTCTAGAGCATGAAAGGCTGTTGAGACTTCCCAAATTGGTGAATCTACTACTTGGACTCCATAGTTGCACTAGGTGATTGCAGCTGCAAGAGGGAAATGTACATGTACAAAGCCACAACTCGAGTCAGAACATGAGGGTCAAAGTGGATCAAATATGTAATGGTGATCTGGCGACTTTGACACTTCCAAGTCATACATTCAAGTCATCATTTGTAATGAATGGTTCACCTTTATGACCCTGTAACAAAAAAAAAAGATTGATCAGCATGTTAGGAACCTCACAGAATTTATAAAGCAACACCAGAATGACATAGTAAACAAATTATACTGAACAAAAGTGAGAACTACATTCACACGGCTTCAGAAAAAAATCATTTATGGTTCTTGGCAACTGTCACTACTAGACTCACTGAAATCGGATACGGTTATCCCTCATATGTACCACAGACTTGTCAATGCTCATCTTTCGTACAACTCTGTTTGCTAAAGCAACTATCACATAAGATCATGCTAAAAAGGTCAATCTGTCAAAGTGCATTACTGAGCTATAACCCATGTAAGGTGAGAAGAATTGGATTCAAATACACAGGCAATATGCTATTACTTGCAGAAGAATGTGCAAACATAAGTGAGGCACCATAGCATCAGATAACTATACACGAAAACCTCAGCTCAACAGAGTTCAGAAATAGAAGATAGTGATAGCCTTTCATGGAGGCCAGACCTTAAGCAGTACTTCCTAACATAGAAACACTTAAAAATGATAAATTTCTAAATTTTGTACAAGGTTATAATTGTTTATAACCAGCTGAATTTTCTAGTCACAAACATTGATTAGATGTATCCAAAGTGTCAGTGGTCCATTTTAGACCACCAATCTTGAGCAGGTCTTCTAACAAATTTATCAATGATGATGTTTATTGTTGGAACCATCATTACCATGAAAATCCATGCCAAGAATCTTGTATTTGCTCAATTTACTGGCCTCCAGTGTGTATGTATAGGCATTCTCCATCTCTTTCATGACTTTATAGCCTATTATTCACACTTAAAAAATAAGTAGAACCTAAATCATGTATTGTGTTAATGTACAGAGTCTTCAATGTAACTTTGGAAGAGTTTGCATCCAGACCTTAGTAACTTGTATACAACCATTTTATTATCATGCTCGAAAACTCAAAGATAAGAGATTATTGCATCAATTGGACCCCAATGTTAATGCACATACAAATAATAACCTAACTAAACAGCGACACACTTACGTAGTATAATCATCCAGGCTGTCATAAAAAGTGCACTTTTAGCACTATGAAGTCCATCAACTAATTGGAATGGCTTAATCATTGTTTAAAGTATGGGCTGGTCTTAGACAACCCCCGTCTCTTGGGGTCATAGAATCTTAGCCCTGCAATCAGCTCAATCAAAATTTCAGTAATAAAAGCGGACTCACCAGTTGATTACAGCAAGTACCCGCCCATGTCACTGCATGCCAGTGTTGCCTGCCAATATACATATGTGAGAAAAGCTTGTCGTGCCATGCTGGCAGAAAACCAATTTTGACATAGTACCAGTAGACAGTATACTGACAATACGGTTGATCTAACCACTTACCGATGTGGACGAAGTACCCACACTTCAAATGACTTTTCTTTTTATCTTCCTAGTTATATACCACTCCCATGCCGACACATACCCATGAGAGGACCAATAAAAAAGATCACGCACCCAAGATTTAATTCCTCAGTACAGACAATCCTTGGAAAAGAACTTTTGTCTACTTTGAAATTATGACAGATTTCCACTGACCCGGATGTGGTGGTGTTTATTAACAAAATGCCACTTTCGAATGTTAAAACAACTAAGCAGACACTCGAAGGACACTTTTATTAAAGCCTTCTAGATCTGTGTAATCCTTCCACAAATCAGATAGGATCAATCAATCAATAGTGATTACCAAAATACTTCTGTACTTGCTCAAGATTCAAGAAAAATTCAAGATATGCCTAAAAATTATGTATACTTTATTCATAATCACAAGGAAAATGTAAAAAATTTGCAGATCCCGTAATTAATTAATTATTCATCAAACTCAAAGATTTTAACAATTACTATAGACAATGACCAAGCTCCAGTGTCAAATCAAGAGACATGAAAGATCAATAAGACAAAAAAAAAGAGAGCAAATAGTAAATATACTACACCAGAATCAGCACTGCTTTGCAGAACATACACAGATAAGCAATGTTCAGCATGAAAGGAAACCACCAGAAAATACACTTTAAATCAAATTGTAGATCTTTTCCTAAAAGATGCAGATTTAAGACAGAAGTCAAAATGCAGTACATCATTAATCAGAAGATCCAAGCTACAACAAGTAGCACAATTTATATAAACACAAATCAACAAATCTATGCAGATTTAAGGCAAATTGACAATTAAAATTTGCTAATGTTCCTACAAGCCTTACCTAAAAGATACCGCAACATAAACATGTTGATTAGGATCTAGTATAATCCATTCTTCATAATACGGTCATACTGAAGCCGCATTGGCCTTTCTTGACTAAATGTTTCATCATCAAAATCTTCATCTGTGGAGTTTTCTTGACATATCAATCTTTTTTCCCTCAATGGATTTGACCCCAGATCCTCCCAATTACTGTGGCTCTTGCTAACAGTGGTTGAAGCCATAAGAGATTGGACATTTTCCATATTGGGACCCATATCTTCACAAACAAGTTCAACTTTTTCCCCTACCCTGCTGGATGAAGTTTCAACAATCAGATCATGATCATGATCATGATCCAGGCCAACAGAAGAGCCACCAATAGCCAAGACTCCTGTGTCAACATCATTAACTGCTCCAATGTCAGATGGGTCTATAGAATCTTTCCTTTGTCTTTTCCATTTTTTTGTGGACGAGGTACCATCATCCTCAAAATCTTCTTCTTCCCTGTCCTTGTGCAGATAAACCCACAATTTTCTTTCACTATCAAATTGTACACAAGGATCACGCTCATAATGCAACCGATCTAGAGCCCCACTCACTACTTGATTCACTTGTGCATCAGAGATGTTTTCAACAATGTATTGTGAGTCCCTTAATAAGGTACAAACATCTGCTCTAGTTCCAATACTACCAGGCAATCTGGCTGCTGAATCTCGAACAAGACAAAGAATAGTAACATGTGGTGGTCGATCAGGTTTAAGCATGAAATGATCCCGAGCTTTTGATGTTGGCTTTCCGCCACCCCTTCTTAATGGAGCAACAATAGATTTTTTTCCATCAGCAGCTGTGTAGGAGAAGGCCCTATCTGGAACAGAGTACCTTAAGAATTCCTCTCTGCGGAAGTATACTCTTACTTCATCAGAACTAGGACTAATGGTGTTTAGACTCTTTTGAGCTCTTAGATCTTTGAACCTTTCCTTCTCATCCAAGTTTGAAAGCAATGAAGGAGGAGGTGGAGGGAGGCTTCCAATCTGCTGGAGGGTCACTTGACCACTTTTAAGCCAATTAGCAAAAGCATCAACCAATTTTACGAGCATCTTATGAGGAATTCCCCATGCTTCTGAAGAAGTTTCCTCTTCTGCATTATCATTGTCAGATGAACTAGAAGTAACAGGACCTGCCCACAGCCAACTTTTGTTTGATTTTTCATATAATGCTAAGGGCTTCCATCCCTTTGCCCCTAAAGGTGCTGTCTTAGATGAGAAAACCTTCAAAACTCCTCGAATTAAATCCTGAAGTGGTTCCTGTGTTTCGAGAATGAATGGATCTCCTGGGTTTGATCTAACTTGATCAACAATCTCTTGAACAGTGAGAGAAGGCAAACTGTTTTGTCCTGCATAGCCTGGAGAATGCTTATCCATATTCTCATGAGATTGAGAAAGGTGTGTACCATTGGCTACTTGATGCATTTTGTTGTGTTCTTCTGTTTTCTGTTTAGACCTACCGTCCTCAAGATGACTGGCTGTCAGTGAAGTGTCCTCAATATGAGGAGTAATCATTGCTTTCCGGACAGCCGAAAGAAGATGTATGATGGAAAACAAAAAGCCGGTGTGAATAGTAGGAGTGATAAGAGTAAAGGGCTTTTTTTGTAGCTTTGGCTTAGGTTCTACATCTTCTGTATCCTTTTCTGATATTACCATATCAGAAGTTACTTCAGTCAAAGTATCAGTTTCTGCATCTGCTTTCCTTTTACCCTTCCTGACAACATTGAGGTCATCAATCTGCTGCTTTTGACTAGGCAGTAGGTGGAGGGATATATCCAGCTCATTAGATAAATGACCGTCAACCTTCCGTTTAGGTTTCTTTGAAACAGAGTTGCACCCTTCCAAGGGCATATTTGATCTTTCTTGAGTAGGATTAATTGTCAGAACATCGGAGACTTCCATCATGTTCCCCACTCTGTTGATCATATTCTTGTCACCTTGTGACTTGGAAATTTCATCTAAATTCTCCATGTATTCATCCATCATGCCACTGCCATAATCATGAGTGTAAAATGATTGTTGTAGGGAATCACTCACATTGGCCATCCTTTTATGCCTCTTCTCTATATAAGTCGATTTCTCACTTGGGCGTGGTACAAGGGCTTTTTTTACCAATCTGCTATTCTTCCCTTTCACAGAGCATGATTCTACGTCCGGTGTACATATGCTTCTACCAACATCACGTAAGTCAGAATAACTTTTTCTATCTACTTTCATGAGCTTGTTTGGCTTTTTTGAATCATAGATTGATCTAACAACCCCAGAATGATGGCCTCCAACATCACCATTTTGATGCTCCAACTTCTTAACCATAGAATCGAGAGATCCATCATCCTCAACCTGATCTGATGAATCAGATTCTGTCTCCTCACTCTGAGAAATCATAGTAAGGCCTTTTGAATAATCCCTAGTCATGCCCTCATACTGAGTAAAATTATTTTTCACTTTTCCCAATAATAATCTAGCTCCAGGATCCTTGCTGAGAAAGGAGTCACCCATCTGTCCCAGAACAGGTTTATACGCCTTATTTTTCAAGTCATAACCAGCTCCACTTTTACCAGCTTTATATTCATTTCCAACCTTGCAATTCTTAACTTTGCCATTCCAATCATCAGATTTAACTGAATGGCCAGAGGAAATGGGTTCACCATGCTCATTTTTCTGCATGGGATTAGTTAGTATGTGTTTCTGAGCTCTACCAGTTGTAGGATGCACCCAATCTCTCTCGGAATATTTAGCATTTCTTGTGCATTCAGCAGATTCACGACCATACAAAGCTATAGTTACCACCTGATCTCTGTCCCTGCTTTTGCCTTGAGAATGACTGGAGCCACTATAGCCTTCAGGGTCTTCATCACTATCCATTCCCATATCATATCTTTTTTGTGGCTCCTGTTTCTTTCCTGTCCTCAACAAAGTATTCCTGGCTACTGCCCTTCTGCATCCTGCAATCCAGTCTACTTGTGAACCCACACATCCTTCATCCATATCGCCATGATCATCACTTATATTATGTTTAGTCCTTTTGGCAGCTCCCACATCACAACCTTCAAATTTATCCTGCTGAAGAAGATCTAAGAGTGGCATTACTACTCTAGGTTTTGAGTCCAATCCATGCTTCAAGGCAGAAGAATGCTTCCCTAATGCTCCAGGGTTTTCAAGTGCTGAAACAGAAGGAGTAGTAACCTTCAAAACACCTTTTGAGTACTCTTTCCCAAATTTCACCAGCTCCCATGCCATGCTAGTCCCACGATGCGTGACATCGAATGAAGGCTTTGCAAAACTCTGGCCCATCTTAAACCGTTTGTTCAAATACCAATCATCAGAATCCCCACTCTCTGAATCTGTCTCAATATCAACATCTCCATTCCCCCCATAACTCAAAGGTTTCTGAGCTCTCTGGATGTTTAGAAGCCGAAGCCTTTCTTCGATACTGTATAGTGGGCAGTTTCGCAATGCATTCTTAATGAAGACAAGATTCCTCACCATAGAATTCTGATACTTGCACAGGCAATGGTAGTGCTCGTGCTGCTGCAAGAAACTCAAGCCCCGACAGTAAAGAACAATCCTGGGATCGCAGAGACCACCTTTCAACCGATTAAAGAGATTGCCCAGTGGGCTCCCAAAGTGGAAATTTTGTTCCAGAAACAGCTCTTTAAGGGTGAAACCAAACGTCTCCCGGTCCATGTCCGGGAGGTATTCAGCCAGCGCATAACGCTCCTCCTCCGAGAGGCACTCATTCCATGTATCCAACGACAAGACGGAGCCCAAGTCAGGGAGGTCGAAGAGCTCCAGGAGAATGCTACAGCTCTGGTTCCCCACTTGGCACAACTGAGTCTCAGGCTCGCCGAGCTCCGCGGGATCGAACTCATCTGATTCCATGCCGGAGTCCACATCGGACGAGTCCGAAGCATCGGACACCGCCTTGCCGCTCCTCGCACGAGGCTCCTCATCATCCTCCTGGCTCGAGGCGCTCCCGCGACTCCCGGGCGACGAATCAACGCCCATCTTCGAAACCCTAGAGTCATTCTTCAAAATCGCCATGCCTCCCCCTACCAAAATGCAATCTTTAACCCACCGGCAACACCAACACCGCCTAAAACCACCAAACAATTAACGAAAAACCAAACCGAACACCGGCGACGCGAACCAAAACCGTACGAGAGAAGAAGAAAAGAAGAGAAAGCCCGAGCGCCCGACAGAAAGGGGGGAAAGAGATCGACGCACCGGAAGAGAGGCAAGGAGGCGAGCCAGAGGATTGGGCTCCGCCGTCGGGAAGTGGATGAAAAGTGTTGAATCTTTCTTGGGGACGAAAGAAAACCCTAGAAAGAAAGAGAAAGAGAGAAGGAGAAGAGAGAGAGAGGCGGTGGGCGGTTAGACTAAGGAGAAGAGGGTTGGGGGGGGGGGGGGGGAGGCGACCGATGATGATGGCTCGCGGAAGGGAAAGGAGAGCTGAGTGTGTTTGTGTCGTGTGTATGGGACGGCGACCCGATACAGAGACCGAAACGGAGACGATCCCGCGTCGCTTTCGTAGCGTTTCGGCCGTCACGATATGCTATCGTAACAGAGCGGTTCGCTTGGCTTTCGTAACGTTTCGGGATGGTATGTCGTATTGGGACTAACCGTTGGATCAGGAGATGGACGGTCTATGAGGAGTGAGGATAGATAAGTCAATGTAATTTTTACTGGAATTAATTTCAACGAATTAATTTCAACTAATTAATTCCACTAAAAACAATTAACTGCAATGGAATCCGTTCTTAATGGAATTAATCTCAACTAATTAGATAATTCAATGTCATTTTTCTTGGCTGAAATTAAAAAAAAGGAGTAGCAAATCTTTGTATTTCCGAACTTCACTTCGTTCCAATTATAGTTTATACGAATCGTATACATCATTTTTGCTGATTTATACATTGAAAGCTTGATTGGTAACTGATGGTGGCGGATTTATGGTAGAGAGAAGGATGGTTATAACTTGCATTAAAGTAATTGTAAAAATATATTTTGTTTAAAATTTTATTATTCGAAACTTAATTTTTATCATGAAGCTTAAAAAAAATACTACCAAAATGAAGAATATACATAATGGAGGATAATAAATATCATATTGAACAAATAACAAGAAAAACATCTTGACTTAAAAATGGTCATGTTTTATTTATTTTGTTTTCACTCCAATTACTAAGATGGTAAAAAATAAATTGCTAAATCTTCTTATTAGATAATTAAATATTAACGGTTGAATTAATGATATAGTCCTTCCCTATCTATCCCTTCACCAAGCATATGAGATACATAAGTGAGGTAATAGATTAATATATAATCGACTTTAGGAATATGATGATATTGACTCTCAATAAAAAAGAGCTTGATAAGGGACAACATATAGTCGACTTATGAGATGGGCATTAGAGGAATGACCCGAGGCCTGTACTTCAACCGAGCAAACTCACTCTCGAGTCATGCACCTTAGTTATGAGTCATTGGCTCCCCTATGGAAGGGAGCACTGATAAGATCATTTAGTCTCACAGGAGTATGAGAATCAAGGACTCATAAGTCTATCAAGTCTTCCTTACCCTCAAAGATGTTTTTTGGAGTTCATATGTTTTGAAAAAGAAAAAAATCATGCAGATCATACTAATGATCGACCAACCAAATTATCCCTTATAACATGTAATTCTTAGATTTAGTATATTTGTCATCGGGATAAATTACACCACTGATTGAAAGATAACATTTTATTCTAAAGACTCAATATTGATCAAGTTCTTGGAATTCTTGGATAGCTTAATAATCAAAGGGAGTTTTATTGAATATGTCCAACACAAATGAATTCGACACTCTACCCAATCCTACTACTACTAGTGACATTCTCACGAAAAAGATCACAATTGGATCCAAGTCATATTGTAGACCAGACAACCAAGATATGCCTTAACAATAAATTATTTATAAAATAATCAAACTTTAATTCATATCACTCTCTTTCTATTACTGAATTTTTTATGCTCTTAAAATCTTGTCTTCCAACTAATTTGAATAGATTCTAAAAAATACTTGTCACCTCAACATTTTGCTTTGCATTTTATTTCTCCCGGAATTTTTTTTTTGTTATAAAGATAATGTGTATATATACACCATCACAGTTTGAAGGTGCCACTGTCTGACCAAAAGCAGCAGTCACGTACAAATTACACACCAAGAACTTTCAGCATCCTTCTGATCCTAATTCTTGTCAATCTTGATTCACCGTCTTGTAAGAAACATCTAAACCAAACTGATGGATATGCATTGAGTTCTTATTATTGCGTTTGGTAAACACATTAGTCAACACTACCATCACAATTCAAGCAACAAAATGGAAGGAAGAAAGAAATAATCTCTGACCAGCTACCATTGCATGCACAAGGGAAAGAAAATCCAGAAGTTTGAAAAAGAAAGAATGAAGATGAGGTCATCTCTTTCAAGCAATCATCATCATCTAGATTAACAATGGCTAAAAACCCGACCTCGGTACACCTTTAACCAAGAAGGAAGGTTAAGCTGGCTCCAAGGCCCATAGATGGAAGAAAGCCAAGAAAAGCTGCTGCTAGCTATCACACCAAGGGAACATGATACAGCTGCAACTCATTGAAGGTAACCAACCTGGGATCCAACTAGAAATAGGCTGATCTATTTAGAACTGTTTAAAATAATTTCACAGGCTTATACAGTAGCAAGTAGCCAGCATTTGAAGTTATTTAAGAGTTTCAAGAACCTTTCATCAGCTCACCGATGCCCAGACCTGAGCTTGCTGTGCTTTTTTTTGAACACTGGATGCATGCGGGCAAATATAGATGGCCTTTTGGGCTTGGAACCATAAAGGAAGACCTCCAATGGTACTCCCGACCTGCTTGGAGAACGTTTCAAGAAATCGTCATGGCTGTTCTTCAATACAAATGCTTCAAAGTAGTCGTTTAGCTTAGCCATCTGCTCCTCGATTTCAGCTTGAAGCCACCTGACTTGATCTAGTCCCATCTGCAGTTCCCTTGCAGCCTTATTGTTCTCCTGCTTCATGTTCATCACCTCACCTTGTAACCTTGCAGCTTCACAAGGAGTGAACAGAGCCTCTCCAGTGGCTGAATATGTGTTTACAACACTTGATATCTCCTTTTGCATATCATGAAGAAATGAGAACCTACTTTGGAGCTCCCTTATTAATGGTGCACTATGTTCCATCCACACCTGGAGTTCAGTCTTCAATTCACAGAGTCTTGTTCCAATTGGTGCTGATTCAGGTTTTCCAGTCCGATCACCAGAGGCAGTATCATTGTGCTCTTGTGTTTTGTTGACCTTCAGCTTACCGATATCAGCTTGTAGGTCTGCATATTTGACCTTGAACTCCTGTATGTGATGGAATGATGTGCTGAACCTTAGCCAGAACTCTAGGTTTTCATCAATAAAGGTGTTGATATCCCTCCTAAGCTTTTCTTCAGTAGATGAAATGCTCTTTGGCTCAGTGATGCACTCTACATCGCTGCCTTCTGCAACAGGAAATTGTAAATCAGTGAACTCAACAGACAAGTCTCCTTCATTAGTGCATTCAATAGTCAGATCTCCAGGCATCTGTAAATTATGAGATTTCGGATCTCCCCTCACCATCGCAGAGCTAAATGTGCCTGCATGGGTCTGCTGACAATGCTGAGTACTGTTAGAACTCATTTTTACATTGGCTAACTGTTGTCTCAGTAATCTTATTTCTTCATCTTTCATTGCAATGACATTCTTCAGTTCCCCTATCTCTGTTAGGTCCTCGATCATTTCTGGATCACTTTTGAGTAGATAATCTGCCTCAGCCTGGAAAAAATCTTGCAGGAAATGACCAAGTTGCTGTGTTGCATGAATCTCCTCTATCAAATCTTCCTCGATGTCATGGATTTCAGTTTCCTCGTTATCCCCAAGCTCTGCAACTGGTTCAGTGCTACAATTGGCAGCCTCTTCCACAGGGAATGCATCCTCATTACAAGCATTTTCCAGAGGTTTAGGAAGTTGCATCTTCTCTGAAATACCATTGAGGCTGTGAGAAGCATCGGTAAAGATTTCACGGAAATTTATTTCTTCATCCTGGATAATTTTCTTAATTGCCTGACCTCTGCTTAACTCCTCTTCAGCTTCCTTTAGCCTTTCAGTCAACAAATTTGGGTCACTGATCAGAATCATTCTCTCATCTTCCAGATCCTGTAGGTTTTTCTCAAGTTCGTCACTTTCTGAAGTCAATCGATTTATTTGTACAGCCTGAGATGAAACCGTGAGTTCCAATGTGGTAACTTTATTTACAAGCTCATTAATCTTTTCTTCCAGTTCCACTGAACTTTCAGGATTCATTTCAAAATGTTCCTTAACTTTCTCGTAAATGGACTCTAATTGGACCCTTGCCTTGTTTAGAGAATCAAATTCTTCATCCATGTTTTCGACAGGGAAGCTCATCTCTGTGCTTTCACTAGACACCTTTGCATTTTCCATCTCAGATTGGTGACACTCACTTTTGAGAGCCTTCAGCTTTTGTTTTGCAACCTTAATTCTTTCAGAATCTAGTTTTGCTTGTCCCAATGATTCCATTCTCTGCTTCTGCAATCTAATAATGGCTTCCACACAAGATTTAAGGGTTGTTGCTGTTGTTAAGGCATGCACCTCTTCATCTTCAATGACCGCACTTGTATCAAACTCATCTTGCATGCAACAAATTTCTTCTAGAATATCCATGATTTGCTTCTCAACCTCCCAATACTTGGCTATCCCATTCTCATAAGAGCTTCTGATAAACTCTTTTTCAGTCTGAAGAACAAGTATTACTTTCTGAAGCTTATTTATCTCTTCCTGTGCCTTTTCTTTATCAATCGGAGATGTAGGCCTCTTATTCTGTGTCTTCCTTATGGAGGACTCACGGTCACTTCTTTTCTTCATTAATCCTTCCACTGTTCTCTTGTTAATTCTACTTGGATCAATCGGGGTGATCGCTTTGTCCTCCTCCTCCTCTAGCATCGCATACTGGACCTGTTCAGGAAAAGCAGTTGCTATGGTGTGGTTGGCCTTGTGTAATTCTCCAGATATACGGTCATATCTTTCAGCCAATGCTCTGTATGCTCTGTAAGCATCTTCCACATGGGTTATCAACTCTGGTCTTCTTTTGAAGTACAACTCTGCTCTTTTAGCAAAGGAATCGGCATCCGTTTCGACAAGCTTAAGCATTTGTTTCACCGTATCCTCCATTTCTGTAATTAAAGTTAATCCTATTTGTAAGAAAAACAGGAAGCACAATGATGGATCACACCTTTTTTTTTTTCATTAGCAAAGAAGCATGAGTCAAGGCAAATAATCCATATACCAATTTAACCAAGGTCAAGAGGCCATGTTCATAGGAGTTCTACATTCCACACGTCTTAACTCTTAAATTATGGACGTGCAAAATTGCAATTCCTTCCAATCTTATTTCAGGAAACATATGAGCAACCTCAAGTAACAGCAGTTAGAATGCTAAAATATAACTACGGTGTTTTGGCTACATGGGCTGTCTTCAACAGAAACTGATTTTCTAGTTTAGCTTAGGTATGAACAACAAGTGTTTGATAATCTAAATAAGCAATTCTATTCTGAGATTCAATAGGTAACTTGGTGGAGAACAACTTGTGCATGTCTTAGATCAACCAGCCTTGAAGCAGTCAATTGTTCCATCATATATCTGTTCTAAGTAACTTGAATTTCTAGTTTTGACAAATATCTGTTCTAATTAACTTGAATTTCTAGTTTTGACAATAATCTGTTCTTCGACCCAGAATGCGTACCTAAACTCCCAACGAGAAAACAAACTTCAACTGAAAGGAAATCATGCTTTCTTTTGAATCTAAAGGGTTTTCAAAAAGAAAAAAAAAGGAACAAATCCAGGACCCTAGAACACTATAATTATATACACATTTGCAATTGTTCATTATCTAGAATTTGTTCAAGGAAAATTGCTTGAGAACTTCTGCCATATGTTCCACTGGGAACATATGCCATGTTTCTGGGGAGGGAGCAACCTAGACTAATAATGAACAATTTGCAATTGTTCATTATCAAGACCTATGTTTCTGGGGCGGGAGCAATCTGGACCCTAATCCTGATTCCCCCTTGGAACTCTGTCAGAATCTTGACTAATTGCCTCGTAAATGATTGCTCACAGCTCTGAACGTATCAGATTGTTTCCTTTTTTTGTCTTTGAATTCCGCAACTATGAGTTCATATGTATGTCGTTGCATTGTGTTTGGGAAGAATAAGTCGACATGATTCATGCAGAGGAAAAAAAAGAAAGCATAGTGGCAATTCGTCGAAAAGGATGATGACGAAAAACAAAAGAAGAAAGACTGGCCTCGGAGGTTGCTGTCGAGCCATTTCGACTGCTTCGTCTTTATGTGGCTCGCCCACCACCACGAGTACCGGTTGCTCTCAGCCCTCTGCAGCATCTCTCCCCTACTTCTCTTTGCCTTTCTCTCAGAAAGATTCGAACTTGATGAGAGAACAGGCAAAAAGAAGAAGAAGGCGAGCCGGAGAAGAAGAGGGCGAGGAGGAGAAGAAGAGGAAGAGGTGGTTATGGAGGGCGTAAGGACGAGTTGCGTTGTTAGCTTTATCTCTGGCTAAAGAGGGAAGGGAGGGTGCAGAACACGGGCTGGAACTCCGAAACATAGGGAGGATGGCATCGCGTCTTGGCACAACCTCGCTGTCCTAGCTGATAGGAGGGAAGGAGGTGGCGGAAAAGGGCGAGAGAAGTCAGCAAAAGGCGGATGGTTGTGCTCGACACGTCTCATCCTCCTATTGGTATCAATACCTGCTTTGTCTGTGTTTGTGAGAGAGAGAGAGAGAGAGAGAGAGACAGAGGTGTGGAACGGGCCCTGAGCATATGGCCTGCGTCCACGCAAGCGCCGGTGGCGGTGGTGTCACTCCAAGACGCCGGAGGACGGCCATGGAGCTGACGCCGGCCGCCGCCGCTCCTCCTCCTCCGGAGGCCCATCACCTCTCGCCCCGCGGTCCCGTAACGGTGCCTCCAAACACGACAGTGAAAACCGCGACGCAGCTGTTTCTGAGGACCCCACTGCTGCATCCAATCAAGACGGAGGTAGCTGACGCGGATTAAATATAAACGGCTCGAGTATTTATTTGGGCATTTAATGGGTATCGGATCCGGATCTGGTCGGTTGAATCGGGTCGACACACATGTGGCATCAAAATTATACTCCGTCCAATACATAAGGAACATATTTTGAAGTATACATATAATAAATACATTAATCACTATAATTATTAAGGTAATCGTTTCTCAACGTGCATGCCATCCGATTTGAGCTTTTTCTGGGTCATTTGGTTGGAGTAGAGAGAGTGTCTCGAAGAAAAGCTTAAGCGCTCGAACAAGATGGCTTCAATATGATCACAATCTGCAATGGATAGGATAAAGAAGTCAGTCATGTAAGGGGACTTCTCCTGAGATGGAGAACTTGGTAACACAGTAAAAGTACTAGATTACCTTTGTTTTCTCATTTTCACCAATGTAGTCACATAGTTTTTTTCCTCTAACGAGTTCTTTCCCAGCCCACCAAAGTTGCATACCATGATGAAGCTCACAATCTAGTTGCAATAATCAATAGTCAGTGCATAATAAAAAATCTGATCGCATTTACATGAATCAACACATTAGACGAAAAGCATGAAAACCTAAATGCACCACCAATTAGAAAAAACTGGATTAATAATAAAGATACGGTCACAAGTTTAATATATGCTTCAAGTTTGAGCTGGGACCAGTCATCTTCTATGACAATGAATTGGTTTCAGCCGATTTCAAAGTGTCGATTCAGAGTTTCAGTTAGCTTTGCAAATTTCAAAGTTTTTAGCAACTTCCCTTCAAATTTAATTTTCTGTAGTTCTGCCTGAAACTGACAACCAGCTTGTGTAGGAATTGATTAATCGAAGGTCAGAAATATCAGTCTTGGAGTGTTACATCTGATGCCTCCGAGTCGTCGATCAATTTACTCATGGCTGAGAAACCAGACAACTATAAAAAATTTCCACTCTCAAGCATACATGTGACAGGTGATCATGTTGGCAAAAGATTCAAGGGTAGACTTCTTAATTGTTTAACTAGTACCTTCGAATTTGCTTCAGAATTTTCAACAATACCAATGTGTCATACGGAGTTTTATAAATATCTTCAGCACTGAACCAAGAGCATATATATCATGCACATTGGTATGACTCGTTCGATAATTCCATATTCCTGAGATATAGAATGGTAACTCTATATAGGAAAACTAATTACTTTTAATGTTAACTAAGTTTTTCCCTATAATCAACAAACAACATGCATACATTCATTAATTATCAAACCGCGTTTGAATTTTTATTATCATAATTATCGATGAACCTTTCACACTCACTCTTTCGATTTTTTTCAACTGAATTCACTGAAACAAATTAACAGTTGTTGGAACTAAAACACTGACAGCTGGTCCAAAAGTGAAGTTGTAATGACGAATGAATAACCTTGGTGCAATAGACAAAATTTATAATTAAAGAACAGAAGAAGGTTTGCTAGATCTGAGGGAGGAGGAAGTGACCAGGTCGACTGACATGACAGACATCTAGTGGCTTTTCTAAATTCTGTTTCTCTTTCAAAGTTAGTCACTGCAAAACCACCGAGAGAGAAGTAAGCAAAACTCCTACATACGCGAGGAAAAAGTGAAAAAGTGGGAAGCTCCACAAAGAAAAACTAAAGCTAATTAATCGTATTTAACCTGTCTGTTTTCAAGAAAATAGAGTTGCGTTATGTTATGACAGAGGCCCAAAATGAATCTACTGATACAAAGCTACAATCACGATAGGAGGCAACTGATGACTTAATAACCAATACAATTGTCCCCGAATCTGCCACGGATCCCAAAAGCAACAATATGTCAAACAAATATAAACAAAATTACTTTCTTCTTTCGTAGAAACCACTAACAAAAATATGTTCAATAATCAAACTGCAATCTAGATAATACAAACAGTAATGATACCAGAAAGTAGTTGCGGCAGATCAAAGTCCAGAAAACCCTTTGATTGAGCAACCTTGACTTCCTTTTCCAAGCTCTTAATATGAGCTCTAAGAGCATGAGGTGACAAGAATTTTTTGTGCGCCACTTGTTCCTGAAACAAAATTCAGAAGCTCCTTATTTGTTTCTGGTTTACTAATTGTACATGGAAAAAGGGTAGATGCCTTTCAACCATTTTCTTCATAGAAATAAGCAAATTTAGGAGCAGCTTTTGTTATATTTTCGAAGAAATTGCAACAAAAAAAAAAGGGATTTGTGTGTAACCTTTGACACGTAAGTCTCAGCTTCTGATAAGGATCTCTTCAGAGCAAGTGCTACATCCGGATAACTTTCTGAAACAAGGATGAGCAAAAATTATGGCTTTTATTTTCAACCTCTAAAGCCTAAACCTCCGGAAGATGACAAAAATTGTGGTCAAAAATATTTCTTTTGCTTTCTTATGGGTTTTTTTTTTCCTTTTTTTTTCACTTTTGCTTTCTTATATTGTTGAAGGAAAAACCACCGCAAAATTTCAACAATTGTGGTAAAAAAAATCCCATTATTTTGCTTTCCTTTGCTGCGGAAGATAAAACCTATACAAAATTTCAAGATTATGGTCAAAACTACTACTTTCTGCTGCTTTCCTATGTTGACAAACAGGGCAAGCAATTGATGCCACCGAATGTCACAAAGGACAGAAAAATAGAGTAGAAGCCGGCAGAAGCGAGCTGCGGGATTACCTGCTAAAGAAGGGTCAGCGAGAAGGCGCTGCCTAATGAGAAGGGCGAGGGATTGGATGTGAGACTGCAGGGCGTGGATGCCAAGGATGGCGTCGGTCATCTCGTCGATGCTCGAAGTGGAACGACACTCGTAGAGGAACTGCTGCTCCTCCGATTCCGCCGCCGCGGCCTTCACATGAACCATCACCATCTTCTCCTCGAGCTCGCCTTCACCCCCTCACAACATCACATATATTTTATATATATAAGAAAGTCTTTTTTGTTTTTCGTTTTTGTTTTTTGTTTTCAGATTGATGATCAAAGATGTTGTCACTGACGTAATAAATAGTAACACTCGATTACGAGGCTGAAACCGAACATTATCGTTGTAGATTACCGATTACAAAGTTAACAATATTTGAACTCAAGTGTGAAATCTTTTGCATGTTTTAGGTCAAAATCTCAAAAAATTTGGATACATGAATAGGAATACCAAACATTAAATTTATCTTTTTTATGATTTTAGTCAAATACAAATATAATCGCCAAAATTGTTTGTCGTAGTAAAACAATTAATACAAATGTTGGCAAACTTCATACACTTTTTCATCCACTCGACCTCTTCAATGTACAAATCATCCGTTTAATTTTGTAAACATGATTAATTTAATCTAATTGGTCATTGTATTAATTAGTCATTAAGCAAGATTAAAGATAAGTTTACAATGAGATGGGAAGGAAAATTTTGAAGAGTAATGTTTTGATTTCAACTTAGAATCACTAAATTCAGACAAGAAGAAGCTTCCCTCAAATCAGCATCAATCAAATAGCGAGTACTGCTTGCTTCAATCTTTTGGAATTGCTACTTAGAGCTTTCCTATTGAGTTTAATGTTGATACAACGCAGAAAGACTAGCCATGTATTCTACTTACCACTCCAGAATGAAGCTCCAGTAAAGCAGCTTTATGAGTGAAGAACTCTGTGGTTTACTAAAGAGCATCACTCCAATTCAACTTCTCTGAAAAACTAGGAACTTTGAACAACTCTGGAAAAGGCTTCAGGCTAGTTTTGTGAATTGATAATTATATGGAAATGAAACAAAATCTGTAGCAATATGCCTTTGAAATAAACCTTAGACAGACAGACATGTTGCCACGAAGTACTAGCATTCTACATGGACAGTGATGTATCTGGTGGGATGTCAGATGAACTGTTCAGATCTAACATTTTGCCCTACACCCTCCAGAATTGTGTTAAAACATTGTTTCTCTTGTATATTCATAGGCAGCCTCCTCACTCATGAAGTCGGGTTTGTAGTACCCAATACCAATGCTTTTAGTTCGGGCATCTTACTTTCCAGCAACTCCTGTTGGCTTAAGATCCTGTCTGCTGAGCAGCCATATTCCTACACAACAGAAAATGCAGATGATGAATACATGATTGTTAAAAACTCGAGTAGATCTTTTTCTTTAATTTATTGCAGATCATTAACAGCAATATTTTCATTTGCTAGATGCATCATAAAGTTGTAACAGATTGAATACACCAAAATTTTGAGTAATATGATCGTCAGTCATATAGAAGAATAAGAAGAGTGTCATTTATTGTCTAATGTTGATAGAATAAAGTGAATATTATATAATAAGTTCAGCAGAAAATGCATCCTGAAATGTGTTGGAACAAACTAGTACTATTACTTCAGTGAGGTGGATAATGAGAAATAAATGACCATGGTGCCTGCTACATAGAGACTGCTACAACAAAATAAGTGGTTAATTAGGATGGTGTTAGTTCCCCTGTATGTTATGCCATACATGCATCAGATATAGAGCTGCCTACATGGATGCATACAGAAATTATACAATGACAATGAGTTAGGTTTGGAAGTCTTAACAGATTTAATAAGTTCAGTTCATAAACTCACATCACCAACCGCAGCAGCTTGTAGTGCTAAGAGAGTAACCGTTGCACTATGATAGTCCATTAAGGTCTTGTATGTCGAATCTGGTAACTTGTCCTGTCACATTTTAAGAGGTTATTTATATATCTAAATGACTTTCCGTCTGCAGAATATATAACATAAATCGTAATGTGATTCACACTTTATATGTATGTGTGTGTGTGCCTACAAAGTAAAAGTTATGTTTGATGCATCACTTTTTTCCTTTGTCGTGTATATCATCTTAAAATTCAAAATTGGAAAAACAACCAAGATAGGCTAGCTTTCATTTTGATCAAGCCTTGTAGCTTTTGACAAATAGTTCCTCAAGTCACCATATATTTGACTTCTCAACACATTGTTCAAGTTTTTCACATGGTATACTGCAAGTGCAGTGTCGCATGTACAGCATCCCCGACAGACCTGGTAATTTGTACACTTATTATCTGCATTGGATCTGTTCAATTATTGACTTGGACTTTGAGCTTAAATGCCTTTAAACTTTTCACTATTATCTAATTCTTGAACAGCCAAAAATAACTTTTCCTTTGGGCTCATGGCACGACAGGATGAACAAGAAATGGAATATCCTAATCTCAATCCCCTTTCCTGCTTCTCTCTTCATTTTTATTTTTTCCTTTTTCCCCCCAACAGCCGCCTGCATTAGCAGGGAAAGTTCTGTCGCTAATGGCATGACATATCAACTTTAGGATGAGGACATGCACCTCTAATCAAGTACTACCAAAGCCTCAGCTAGAAACCTCAAGGTTCTGAGGAGATACTTGCCCTGAGATTGAAGCAAACAAGCCTAAATTGAGCATCTTTTTACGGGAAGAGCTATAAAAGAATGCATGCATTTAGGGTCTTCCTATCCATAAGGATTTTCTATGTTCCCTGAGGCAATCCTTAGGGTTTTTGGGTAGCAGCTACTTGACTGAGTAATGCACTATATCTTAGAAAGGCTTAAATTTTAGACCAAATCCTGAAGAAGGTTAAAAGTATGTCTTGTAAGAAAATAAATGAAATCGCATACAGTACAATATTTTACCTTCAACTGAGATATAAGAGCAGATATGGCTCTTCCAGGTGCTTGAAGAGCTTTGTTATAGACCTAACAAAATTCCATATGGATTTATGTATCACGATCATGTCGTATGGAAAAAAAAGAAAAAATTTATAGTCCCCGCACCTGCATATATAGTAGAGCAACAACCTTAGGCAAAAGTTTAACTGGATCACTTTCTGAAGAGACTTGTGATGTCAAATCCTGAAATTGACCTTCCCAAGATCAGAAGTATCATAAACCACATATTTTGTTTAGAATACATGGCAACAGATGAATCTCAAAGGAAACATGGTATTTGTAGTTTCTATTTCTAGTTGTAATTATAGACCCTCAAAATCAAGCAACCAGATGTATAATACTGTTGACTGAAACAAGATTCATCCTGCATGAAGGTCAAGTGGCTATATGTGCACACAATGACAGCATACCAATACAATGGTATAAGCAGTATCAATTTATCATCTCATTGAACACCTGGCGAGGAAGCATAAATTATTTTGGAAGATGAGCAAAGGGCCAGCATTACCTATTATCAAGTGGAATATCCAACAAATACACCATAGTTGCTACTAAGTTTGAGAAGAATGCAGCCCTCACATACAGATTTGTTTATAAGAGCGCGCTCATACATGTTTCTCTGTTAATAGTCAGGACATTACAGCTTGTTGTTGCTCATACACATTTCTAGCTTATCCACATAAAATGGTTCACTTATTCTGGATTTTAAATGAACATAAAACTAGGCAAAGGTTCTAACAAAACACAAACATAAATTTTGATAAAACTGCCGGCTAGGATTTTAGAATAAGAAATGCCAGTCACACAAGGACCTTTGAGCATAGTAGTCATGATCAACTAATTCTGTGCAATCAAATATTTCCTAAAAGTCACTAAATTAAAAATAGCAAGGATTGTTGCAACTTGCAAGATCACAAGGGAAAAGATGTCAATGTACTAGAATTTGATAAGTAGCAGAATTTTAGAACGAACCTTGCGATGGTAGTGCAACATTGTCCTTTCCAATTTTTTATCGAGCTTCTTTACTAGTAGGCCACTGCAAAATAAATATTTAATCACCAAAAGGGTATGGAAGTTCAAAAACTCAATAATGAGTGAAATAATTATTACCTTTCTTCCACCACATCCCTTAATGCATTCATAAATGTATCTAACCGCTGCCAGAGTAAGGAATAAATAAATATCAATAAATATATCTGGAACTGTTATGATCATGATGTAACTAGATCTGATACCATGGTGATCAGAAGTAAAGATGAAGCTTTAAAGAGGACATTGAAACTTTACGTCAGAAGGTAGCTCAACAGTGATTGTATCGATTGAGCTAAAATCATGAGTCGAGAGACCAACTACAAGCCCAGGGCAATTTCATATTCCAAGCAGTTGCTCACTCAATTCCGAATAACACCAACCATAGGGTTTCCGAATTGATGATGGAAGAACATAACTTTGCAGAAAAATAGAATACCTTTAAAAATATATGTCAACTTGTTTTATTACTTGGCAACAATAATATCCTTCTGTGATAATTTACAGCCATACATAATTATTTATTGGTTAAACTCAATTTGTGCTATTGAACTTAATCATCGTTTCAATAAAAAGAAAAGTTATGCTGACCTAATCAGCAAATACAATAGACAGAATTTCCATTATAAACGTAATTGAAAGCTATGGTGTATACATTTCACTTAAGTATTTACTTGGGGAATTTCCAGATTGCTCTCTTCAGGCATCATGATATAAGATTGCATAAGTTATCAGAAATCTAACTAATCCATTCTGCGATTTAGATAGCACAACAATGATATGACTAGAAGTTTTGAGCCCATAAGTTGACAATCCTAAAAGATATATGAATAAAAAAGAATACTAACCTTCCCCTCAAGCGCTTCTGCTACTGCTTGAGCCTTAACTGAAAGAGAATTAGGTAGTCCTTTTGCCTGCATAAAGAAAATATATTTAAATAGGGGGTTGAAGGTGCCAAACAATTACTCTGACTATGTAATAGAAACAAACCAACTTTATGAAAAACTATGGAATATAATAATCTAGAATGCTGAAATAAGCAAACTACTGAAATTGTAAGAGAAGGGTTATCTCATACCAGAGAAACACGATCTACAAAAGTAAACGATGTAGATTCCACATTCTCACTGTCTTTAATTTCAATTCCATTCTTCAGCTTGTTCTCCATATCCTAGGAAAACAAAATTAAAACACCC